GTGAAAATACAAAATGATACAGCTACTTTGGGAAATAGTTTGGCAATTTCTTAGGATTTAAAACACATTCTTACCTATCCAATCAATCTACTGATTACGGACCTTTTGTGTATGCACACAATAGTGTTTATAGCACCTTTATTCTTAAGTAGCAAAATCTGGAGGTAACCAAAATGTCCCTCAGTAGGAGAACGGCTAACATATTGTACATCCAGAGATCATCGTTAGCACTAAATAGAAATGAGAATCAAATGCATATCACTAAGTAAGGAAGCCAATCTAAAAAGGTCTCACATTATATGGTTCCAACTATATGACACTCTGAAAAAGGCAAAAGTATGAAGACAGTAAAAAATTTAGTGATTATCACAGATTAAGGGAAAGGAGCAACAGAAAGGTAGAACACCAGGGTATCTTAGGGGCAGTGAAACTACTCTTATGATACTGTAATAGTGAAGACATATCATTATACATTTGTCAAAACCCATAAAATATGCAACACTGATAGTGAATTCTAACATAAACTATGTACTTAAAATGATAACATGCCAGTGTAGTTCACTAATGGTAACAAATGTACTATTTTGGTGTGGCTTACTGACAGTTGGGGAAGACTGGCAGAGGAAATGTATCGCAAATATATATATCTATATATGTGAATCTAAATATGTGAATCTAAACTGCTCTGAAACTTAAAGTGCATTTTCTAAAAAGCATAAAAAAGTATACATCTTTTATTGGAAAGGGCAGATCTAAAAAAAAATAGAGGCGCTACCTCAGGAGACATACACTTAGTGACATGCACAGAAGAATGCTGAAGGAAGACTAGAAATCCCCCATGACACAGCAGATCAGGACTACTCCACCCCTTCCTTCACTTCTGCATTCTGCAAGATACTACAATTCACCTAGAATCAGATGAATGGTGGTGGATTTCATATTAAAAAGGAAGACCTAGGGCTGGTGATTTCGCTCAGTGGTGTAAGCACCTGCCTGGCACCTGCTGGTTATGAGTTCAATCCCCAGTACCAAAAAATAAAAATACAATAAGAGGAAGACTTTTAAAATGCAGATATTATAGAACTCATAGTGCTTTAAGAAATGATTATTTAAAAGCTGAATTAGTATTTCTTTTTACAAAAAGGAAAATGTTTCATATCTGCTAGATACTCAACTATAGAAGCTACTCCTAGTTCAAGAACAATTACTTTTTAAAAATCAACAATCTGTTCCTTCAAATACACCTTCCATTTAAACCATGTGTTAATGTAACAAAGTTACTGCTTTTTAAAAGAAATTCACTGTAAAGAGTACTTTGAAAACGTTTTCAAAATTATTTTCACCATCACATGATTTCTAAATTTGCAAAGTACTATGTAAGAAAAATTTCCATATCTATATATCATAAAATCTTTAGAAACAATTTCTTAAACTTCAAAGCTTCTAGTCTTTTTTTAAAATCAATTTGTCAAAAATATAATCTTTTTTGATACTTTCTCATAAACTGACATATAAAATGGAAATTCACTACACAAACTGACTAGTTGGTGAGATGAGATTAAAAATTAAGAGTTTCCTAATACAATCATAGTGTGGGACTTCAATACACCATTCACAATTAGTCTGTTCAACAAGAGGGAAAAAAAAAAAAAAAGAAATATCAGAGTTAAACCACACCATTAAAAGAAATAGACTTCAAGTGCATTTTCTAAAAAAAAAAAAAAAATGCACTTTAGTATTTAATCTAAAAACAGAATGGATTGTTCTCAACGACACACAGAACTTTTTCCAAAACAGACCACATTTATGTGATTAAAGCATGCTTAAATACATATAAAAGAACTGACATAATCCCATGCACTATCAGATCATAGCAGAATAAAGCTAGAAACCAACAGCAAAAGCAGCAACAGAAACTACACAAACACATGGAGATTAAATGATAATTAATGAATAATCAATAGATCACAGAAGAAATCTGGGAAGAATAAACTTTCCAGGGCAAAAGAACAATGGAAGAACAAGATACCAAAACTTACGGCACACAATGGGGACAGTTCTGAGAGGAAAGGTTATGGCTGTAAATCCACACATAAAATGAACAGAGCAATCCCAAATAACCTAATGATATATGTCAAGCTCCTAGAAAAATAAAACAATCAAAATCTAAAATAAATAGATAGAAAGAAATTGTAAAGAGCAGAAATTAATGAACTGAGGCTAAAAAAAACTGTACAACGGATCAATAAGGGTTAGTTCTCTGAAGGGAAACTGATCTGGGAGTAGGGACATGAGGGTGGGAAATAAAAAGAATCAAGATGTAATATAAATAAATAAGTAACTGCATGAACGTATATACACACACACACACTTATATATATACACCAATTTCCCCACAATGAATATATTTACTCTGTGTTGCAAAAATATAGATTTTAAAATTGAGAAAAAAAATTAAGTGTTCCAATCAGGTCTGGTTGTGCATGCCTATAATCCCAGGACTCAGGAGACTGAGACAGAAGACTCAAAAATTCAAGACCAGCCCCATGTGGCACAGCAAGAAAACTTAAAATGGCCAGGGGACTACAGCTCAGTGGTAGAAGGGATTACCAGGGATGCATGATGACTTAGTTCAATCTCTAATATCACCCCCAAAAGATTAAATCTTCGTCAAGTTTCTTCCTAGATATTAGATGATTTTTGATGCACTGCATTTAATAATTTCATTTTCTGATTTTTTCCCCCCAAATTTACAGGAATTGATTTTTGTAGACTGATCTTGTACATGATGACTTTATGACATGGGCTTACTCTGCCTACTGGTAGCAGCACTTCTAGTATAACAGAACACTTAAGTTTTGACAATTGGGTATCTATTCTTGTCTTCTCTCCTGACTTACAAAAAGTACTGAGCTGTTTCATTATAAGCATGTTTATAGATAAGATAGGTAGATAGACAGATCAGCATTCCACAAGCCCATGGGCTCCATAGGAAATCATTTTTTAATTTTAAAGAGAAAAAAATAAAAATCACAATAAAACAGTCTTGTAACAGGCTAGGAGAGTAACAATAATACACTGCATAGGCAGAGCATTCAGTTCAGTAGCATAAGCACCTGCCTGGCAAGCTCAAGGTCATGAGTTCTATCAGGAAAAACAAACAAACTGCATATTGTTATCTTTATAGTAGCCAGTCAAGAGTACAAGATACAGGCTTGAAACACTGCTCAAACAATACTAGTTCAAACCTTTTTCAACGAACTAAGAGAAACTAGCTGTATGACTATCTTAACTGTCATGTGTATATATTTTTTCCTTTTCCCTTTCTTCCTTAACCCTTTCCCCCATCACAATTTTTTTCTTCCGAATAGTTTCTCCCCAATTCACAGTATCTATTGTACATTTTGGATCTTATTCATTCAGATTCTCAAACTAGTGAACAATACAATGTTTACACATGTGGGTCTTATTTATTTCACTTGGCAGTACTCTCAAATTGTATCCATTTACCTATAAAAGTCTTCTTTGTGGCTGAGCAGTACTCCATTGTTAAAACAAACACACACACATCTTTTTTATTCATTTCTCAGTTGATGGGCATTTGGGTTGTTTACAAGATCTAGCTATCACAACCATGCTGCTATAAACATGGGTGCACACATATAGCTATGGTATGTTGCTTTTAATTCTGATGGGAAGATACCCAGAAGGGGACCCATGGGAAATTATGATTTAAAAAAGATAGGCCTTGTTTTTTCATGCTTCACATACCATATGATACTAATGTTCACAGTATCAAACAACTGCTACTAAATAGCTTTGCTAACAATTTCAACAGAAATCTTTTAGCATCACATGGCACAGTGCAAACAGCCACAGTGCTGAGGTTACTATCAATTTTTGATACAACAGGGTGAGAACACTGATAACTGGTAAGCTACACTGTACAAATGGGAGCACAGCACGTGACAATGTCAGAAACTCCCTTCCCAAATTTTAGCCTCCAATCTCCTTTTTAAATAGTGTCAACTGACTTACAGAAGCAAATTCACTAGCAGTATTACAAAAAGTGAAGGAAATGCTCACTCTAAACAAAGAATTTTTATGCACCATGACTCCTGTACTCTGCTGCTCTAACTATTGTAAAACACAGATAATGCAGTAATAGAAGTAACTCACTTCACGAACTTGATTCGTTCCATGATTCTGGTCCCAAAACCAAGTTGGATGAGAACCAAATCAAATTCAGCATTTAGGTTTAATGTTGACTTTATGGAAAATATGTTTCTTGTTTAATTCAGTCTGCAACCAAAATTGTGGAGAGAACTGAACTTATGAACTAAGTACCACTAAAAAGTATGTTTTAAGCTGTGATGTTTTGGTCCCTTTTCAAACTTTTTCAGTTAGTTATTATTGTATTGTCTTCATTTTTATAATTAACACTTTTTGTGGAAGACAACTCCAGTGACTCCCTTTGAACCCCAAACAATTAATGTGACTTCGATTATTTGGAGACTCATTTCCTTATACTGACGTGTAAAAAGCTGGCTACAGTATTTCCCTCTCTATAGCACCCCTAAACAATTCCACTACTACCTTAATTGGATTATGTAAATTGATCCTTCTGCATATCTTTATCTCTGCAATTTACAGAGATGCCAATCTTGCACCTGGCCAGCCAGCTCAAATTACTCTAATTCTCGCCATCCTCACTCATCCATGAACCAGCCCCTTCTTCACAAGATAATAGGCCTTTGTCCACATGTCCTTATGGGGAATGAATTTAGGACCCTTTGACTGCCCTTAACTTGGAATATGTCTTGGTGTTTTTACTCTTGCCCATGGGTTGCACTGGTGGTGGTAGATTAAAATTAATTTACTGGGACTCTAATAATGTCTCAATGGGATTACAAGTATAACTTTTTGGGTTGTGAGGAAAAATAGAAAGAAGATTACAATACTTGGATGACTGAACTTGATATTTGGGTTTATAATTTTTTTTTTAAATAGAATGCTTCATGAATTTGCGTGTCATTCTTGTGCAGGGGCCATGCTACTCTTCTCTGTATCATTCCAATTTTAGTATGTGCTGCTGAAGTGAGCACAACACTTGTTTTTTATCAACATGTCTCACAATCCAGTATGATGACCTCTGAAAATTTTAATGGAAGAAATTTGTATACCTAGGTTCGTGAACAATTCTAGTAAGGTCAGTAATAAAGAACCATAATCTGCTGAGTGATTTTACTGATCAATGCAATAATAGACACAAAACTAAACTCTACCACTGTAGTAATAACTACTAATCAATGGTTTATAACTACTAATCAAAGGTTTATAACCATGAGTTGTAAACTAAGACATCCTATTTCACCATGCACAATATACACTTTACAAAACTGAAAAATCATAAAAACAATCACAGCCACTGGACAAGTCATAGTACTTCCTAGAATCACAATTTAAATGGAATGAAGTCTGTATTATTTGGGGGAAAGATTAGGGCTACATCTCAGTAGTAGAGTACTTGCCTTGCATGCATAAGGACAAGCATCATGAGAGGCCATATAAGAACCTTGTTTGATAAAATGAGAAACAGCTGTTTATCTAAATCAAATCAACAGATTCTATCAACATTTGTTATGCAATAATCTTGTAAAAACTTTTAACAAGATGATACATTTCAAGAAAAATTTTTGTTCTACAAAGGAAGAGCCAGAAACAAGAAAAGGGCCGGACAGATTCAATGCAGGGATCAACTGTGTTGATCCTATCAATGATTGATTGGCTCAAGGCAAAGTTTTGCCTCTGGTTTTAAAAAAATCCTGATATCACAAAGCATTGCTTTCTTCAGAGAGGTAGAAGAATCTAAAACCCTTGGAAATGAAATGGAAAATGTCTTGAAGGATGCTACAACAATAATTTGTTTTATTAAGCAAAGGCAACTGTACTGCACTTGAACAGTACAATTTCCTGCTAAACACAGAAATCAGTGGCTTAACTGAGGTTATATCAACAGACCATTTAAGCTGAAAGGTGAATTACAGAAATATTTTCAAGAAAATCACAGGTTTTGAAAATGTAAGAATGACTGCAGAAACTAGCCCTCTTGGCAGACTCTTTTAAACAATGAAACAAGAAGCAGTTGAACATGGGAAGCAAAAAAGAAAAAAAAAGTCCTGATTTCAAATTCCTTGAAAATGTTCTGATTTGAAGTTCTCTGAATTTAAAGAAAAACTGAGTCTTTGGGAAACAAATCATGTGAAAAGGAAATCTTTAACACTGCTTTGGCCTGAGAATGGGGAAGAATGTCAGCAAGTGTTGAGCATCACTGAGAACTACCTAAAGGACTAATAGAAACTATATGTGGGTAAGGATTCTTTCTCACAATCTTCCACTCATCTAATAAATACACTGGAAAAAGAGAATCAAGTAAAACCTTTGAAAAAAATCTGCAAGTTCGACATCAGCCTGGGCTACAAAGTGAGTTCAAGGCCAGTCTTAACTGCACAGTGAGACACCATCTTCTCACCCCCCCCCACCTCCCAAAGAGGTAAGTAAATCCAGATTCTTGATTCAGACCCAGCAGACCAGAACTTGAGCATATGAGGCAACATATTTAATTTCTATGGACTTTAGCATCTAAATTCTAAATTAATTGCCAGAATAAATTCAAAGGGAAGCTAGTGGTTTCCAAACTTCGGCGTTTACTACAGATGCTGGGCTGCACTGTCAGTCTAGGAAGAGGCCCACAGCACAGGCAGATATCCACGGTGGAGAATGATACCAAGAAACAGGTACACCAAAGCAGACAATGTTCCAACGTGTTCCCCATTTGTCAGCTGAAGACTAAGTAGAAGCTAGTACACAAAAAGGCATCCTTGAAATGAGAATTTCCAAGGTAATCTGATGTGCTTTTAAGACTTGTTTAAGCAATAAAACTTGTTTCACGTTAATTACTTGTATGGAAGTGCTTTAAAATGCACCACGGACTTCCAGCTCCTAAGCAGGCCCAACAAACACGCTTCAGTCTCCCTTGATGTCCCAGTCACTGGCACAATGTAAATTAGTGGCCGGTGGTGGAACCTACTTCGGAGGCTGATGAGATGTGACAGGCAGTTTGTTCCTGGCCAAATGTTCTCGGTATTTAACTCCAAACTTCTTGTATATGTCTTTTTGCCCTCTGGTTTAGAGTTACTACTTCTTGCTGTGAATCTTTATCTCAGTTCTATGATGAGTACCCTTGAACTTTTTCCACATGATTTCTATGTAATTCTCATTGTGCAAGTAAACAGTTCTTCTATAAGTAAATGAATAAATTCTAAGGAGCATTTCTGTTGCTATTTTCTTTTTCTTGGCCAAGTTCCTTGTCTTATCAGATCTTCAAAAGGGTGTACAAGGGACTACTGTAGAGTTTAACAGATTATGTAACACTTTCCCCACATAATTTTTTGTTTTCAAGCAGGCTTTCCCCTCACCTCCACTCAAAAGTTATGATGCACTGTGTGAAGGTACACCAAACTCTAATGACTCAAACAACATTTCAGGAAACCTTTATTATGGCAATTGATCACTGATCCTTCAGCCTTCTGATTCAGACTTGCTACAGTGAGCTCCAGGACTTCAACAGGACCTTTAAGGTTTCCAGTACACAGACAAACCTTTTTCATCTTTCCACACCTGACTCTGCAGGGAGCCACTGTAAGCCAATCTTATAAATTCTTATATATTTGAAAATCTTGCATTCTACCTGTTTCTCTAGTAAGCACTGACTGATATACAGCAATTATAAAAATAAATCTGAAGACATTTTTAATAATTAGTCTTGAGATCAGATGAAAAAGATTTTTAACTTCAATTTATATTACTGTGGCAAAGAAGTCTGAAAGATAACTGATGAAAAGTTTAAATCATAAACATATATAAGGATAAAATTCAAGGACAATAAAAGAAAAGACAAGTTCAAAAATAATTAAAATTGGGGCTGGGGATTTAGCTCAGCGGCATAAGCGCCTGCCTTCAAGCAGGCAGTCGTGAGTTCAATCCCTGGTACCGATAAAAATGAAAAAGACAAAAAAAAAAAAAAAAAAAATTAAAATTTCTGACCATTTAGGATCATTTATTTTTAAATTTAATAACATTTAGATTCTATTAGATAAATTTAAAAGTGATATACCTGATTGAAACATTGTAATATGACAGGAATTTCGTATTTCTGGTAGCTGTATAAACTCTGGGTTAAATAATGCTCCTTAACTTTAACTTAAATCTCTGCAAAGGCATACACAGCTTTTGCAAAGTGTTCCAGGGGAGATGTGAGTGAAATACTTGAAGATCGTTGTTCTATACAGGCACTTTGTTATAAGTAAGTTATCCATCTAAGAGAAGACTACACAACAGAGCAGAAAAAACATGAAACTCCAATACTAGTTTCCCTCAATAAACTGACAGTCTTAAACAGCTGCACCTTTTCTGAATATTCCATTGAAAGCACTGCAAGTAACAGATACAATTTTTAACACTTCTTTACTATATTTGGGGTTGAATGAATAGAATGAATGGTGAACACATATCAAATTGCATCATTTGATACTGGAAAATTATAAACATATTTCTATTAGAAATCAAACAAGCCATACAATTCAGACATAATCACATATCAAGTCCCCTAAATTATAAAAGAGAAACCTTAGTATTTAAAAACCTTAGCCAGGCATAGTAGTGCATCTGTAATCCCAGCATTCAGAAGGCTGAGGCAGGATGATTGCCACAACTTTGTGGCCAGTTTGGACTATATGGTGAATTAATAGCCAACATGAACTTATAGAGAAAAGACTGTGAAGGGAAAAAACAAAAACCAAAAAACACTAATATGTTAGGGAACAGATGAGTGAGATTAAAACAGCAACAAATATAGTACTGTTTTTGACTTTTTCCAAGACAAAAACTGGTAAGTGAATGGAAATGAGCCTGGAACAACGGGGGAAATCTCAAATCACTTTGCCATTTTAGTGTTAAGTAAAATTTCACTTTAATAAATAAAATAAAGTCTTCATTAAAGTCAAATCTTCATGAAAATTTAAGTGCTCAAAAATACTGATCCTTCCAAATATTAAATTCTAGTTCTTTTGTAAGTCAATATTTTTCTAAGATACTCGGTAATTCTGTAATTTTCTCGTCCAATATAGTTTTTACATTTCACACGATGGACACAATATCACCAAAAACCATTCTTACCTTCTAACTAATTTTGGTAGTAGTTACGGACTAGTTAAAAGGGGACACATCTATGGCCAGGCCACACTTTTAAACTGTACTTTAACTGCTATAAATTAAGTATACTTATGTGAATTGCTACAATGCCAATTTAAAATAATGTAAAAGGGGCTGGGGATTTAGCTCAGCGGCATAAGTGCCTGCCTTGTAAGCAGGCAGTCGTGAGTTTGATCCCTGGTACTGATAAAAACAAAAATGACAAAAAAAAAAAAATAAAATAAAATAATGTAAAAGGGTGAGAGCACTCATATTTTCATATTGTATTGAAGTATAACAAGCATATAATAAACTACATGCACTGGCAATGCATAATCTGATAAATTCTGATGTGTATACAAATTTAACTTCTGAGAACCTTAATCCCCTTCTTTAGGTAAAATATTAAATTGGATGTTTGTTGTTTGAGACAAATACTTACTTTCATGTAATTCACAATCTTAGCAAGAACTCCAAACTTATATCCAGAGCTTCCTGATAGTGCTTTGAAGTTAAATGATCCATTGCTATGATCTGGAAATTAAGTTTAAAAAAGACAACTTTAACAATTTCATATTATACATTATTATCACATTTAAGCAAGGAAGATGATTTGAAATTGGCAAAGTATTTGAGCTTTTCATCTATTTATATTCTATAATATTCTGATGAAAAGAAATTTTTTTAAACTGTATCTCTGAGTACATATTAAACTATTTTCTCACTAAGGGTAGAAACAAAGTAAGAAATAATTTAAAATCATTAAATTGTAGTTTTGGGGCCAGGGATACAGCTCAGCGGCACAGTGTCTGCTTGGCAAGTGCAGGGTCAAGTTCAATTCCCAGTACCAAAAAGAAAAGAAAAAAAATATATATATACATATATACATATGTATATATATATTTTTTTCATGATTACTTTAACCTTACTCTTACCTTAAATTTGATTAGACTTCCCCCATATTTAAACATTGAAACATTATAAAACTTAATCTGAATCAAAAGTTTTTCTAGCAGACTTAAAAACAGTAAAATAATTAATTTTTAGTTAAGTCAGAGCGCAAATGAGAAAAAAAGACAGACCGACTTTTTATAGAGGATAATAGGTGTTTCAGAACACCTATTATTTTATTGTATTCAAAAACCCTAACACCATGATTGCATCACAAACACATTCCATTATTTATAGGAAGGAACCATATAAAAATTAATCATAAATGCTAAAAAAAAAACCTCGGAAGTATATGGTTTATATCATCAAAGCACTGCATTAGACCAACCATGTGGTTGATCCACAAACAGAAAGGCTAAATAAAAGGGGAGAAGGAGCCAATCTCTAGCATTGACTTGGTAATAATCATTTAAACAAAAGACTGCATTAGTCCACCACAAGTCAAATGTAAGGACTTTCAGAGATCCAAGAGAGCTTCTAGATGGCAACATAATACTCCTTTGAGAACAATTAGTGAAAACTCTTTATTGAACAAGCTTGAAGACTAAAATGAAACTTCATACTGAACTTTCCTTTTAAAATAATTTTGTTGCTGGGCATGGTGGTACAAGCCTATAATTCCAACAGTCAGGAGATTTATGCAGAAGGATCACCTGGAAATGGAAGCAAGCCTCGGCTACATACTAAGTTTAGGGCCAGTATGAACTACATTAGGGAGATCTTATCTCGGGGGGGGGGGGGACAAACAAAAAACTTAGTTATAATTTTGACAAACAACTGACACACAGAAGTCTACTGTTTCCAAAATAACAATACTATTAAGACTGTCATACTCTGGTGTGGTGGTGCACATCTGTAGTCACAACACCTGGGAGGCTGAAGCAAGAGGACGGCCTCAAGTTTGAGGCCAGTCTCAGTGGGTTGAAGGACACCCTGAACTATACGGAGACCCTGTCTCAAAACAAACAAAACAAAAACTGTCTTATAGGTGTTCTTTTGCAGTCACTATTTCAATTATAAACATTATCTTCACAGTTCAGTTTTCCAAGGTGTTCAAGACCTAAGCAGCAATAGTAATAACTAATATTTATTGAACATTATTTGCAGAATATAAGTGTAAATTATTTTCACATTTAATCTCTCCTTAAAACCCTATTTACAAGCCAGGCATAACAGCATATGCCTGTAATCCCAGCACTCAGGAGGCTGAGGCAGGAGTAAAGTTGCATGTTTGAGAACAGCATGGGCTACAAAGTGAGCTGAAGGCCAGCCTGAACTGCATAATGACATCGTATGTCAAAAAGACCCAAAACAAAACAAAACCATTTATACTAGGTGTGGTAGCGCACACCTATAACCCCAGCACTCAGAAGGCTGAGACAGGAGGACCGCAACAAGTTCAAGGCCTGCCTGAGTTACTTGGTGAGACCCTGTATCCAAAAGGGGAAAAGAAAACAAACAAACAAACAAAAAAAACTAAACCCCTTTTTAAGAGGTATTACTGTCTTCTCTTAAAATAAGAAAACTGAGGGTAAAAATGACTGCACAGATTGAAATAAAGGTGCAAATCCTGTGATACTGCCTTGTAAAAGACCTATTAACTAGCCTTTGAAACCAGCTATGTTGCCAGAGTACAGAAATTCTTAAATGTACAGTTCCTATTTCCTTGTTTAATTTGGTAAAATACTATTAAGCACATCCTACACTACTGCATAAATAACTAACTGGAGCTGGATATGGTGGTACAAAGCTGTAATTCCAACACTTGGCTGAGACAGGAATATCACAAGGTCAAGGCCAGTCTGGGCTAAACAAGTTCGGTATCAGCCTGAACTCCAGAGCAACACTGTGTCAAAAACAAACAAAACAAAACACAATAACAACAACAAAAAAAAATAGATGGGAAGACTACAAAAAAGAGAACAATAATATATTAAAAGTTTCATTTATCACAGGGTCTCTGGCTCTTGATGCCTACCACAGTCAATATCCAAGACATATTTGTTGAATGAATGAATGTAATAAGGCTATTTCCAAGTATCCCTTTATGGTCCCAGAACCTATCAATTTATCTATAATTTAAAAAAAAACAAATATACATAGCAAGGATGTATACAGCTGACTGGTATCTTACCAGTCACTTCATTAATTAAAATTTTGATGCTGTTATGTTTAAACCAAACTCTGAATAATATATGATAATTAAAAAGATTCTCTCTGAACAGTCAAATGGAGATGATTTTACCATTTAAAACACACAGACTGCGACTGTGTTTTAAATGTACACTGTGCTTACCTACTTGAACTCTTACAGCTTGAAAGCTAAAAATCTTACTTCTTTTCCTTCAGAACTGCTTCTACATCCAATCATCATAATCACTTCTGGACAGATTTACATATGGGACAAGTATTGACAAAAAAATTTTAAAAAATGAAATTTTATTTACGAGATACTGTATGTACACTTCCTGGAAAAAACATCAAGCTGGTTGGTTACCCAGACCATTATTTCCGAGGTCACTATCCTTCCTGGCATTACCTTATAGCCTCAGCATTAAAACATTCACTGAAGAATGTGAAATTTTAGAGGTAAACACTAAGAGATATCAATTTATTAGTAATTCCCAACAGAAATGTAGCCTAAGGATTAAAAAAAGAAAAGAAAAGGAGTGACAGTCGATATCCCAGACAGCTCTATTCAGGTTTATGAATGATTTACTCTTCAGGGTGGCAGGGCTTAATGCAAATGAATGTGGAGGAAAACTCCACTGCACTGTGATCTAACCAATAGGAGCGCAGCTCCATCTTGGCTGTGCACTAGACTGCATTACAAACAGACGATACCATCGCTTCAACAGCACCCCTTCAGACAAGAGGTAGGTTTATACCATCTTTTTATTTGGTAATCCATGTCCTTATGATACAATAGAAAAATATTTTAGCATATAATCAACCAGAAAGCTTTGTTCCTTCTAAACACTCAAAAAAGCAATTATTCATTCCATTGCTTGGTAGGATTTTATTATAAAAATATGAAGACTGCCTTGTGCAATTTGATAAGCACCCTTACTATATCTGCACCTTAATGGAAAATGTATTACATTTTATACGGACATGATCTATATCCAGACTTTAAACCAGAAACATTTGATTTAACTAGCTACTTGCTAATTTCAGTTTCTCATAGCAATTTCATTTCAGCAGCTTGGCCTGTCTTAACAAAGGATTTTTCTTAAAGAAAAATCTAGACTAAAAGCAAATCCTGGGCTAAAGCTTTCTGATTGTATGTGCAAATTATCTTGGCTGACAAAGTAGCTACTCAAAGTTTCCTGTATTTTAACAAACAGGGCAAAATAATTCAAAATTATTTTTTTATTTTATTCAGAAAATGCCAAGAAACATTACAATTTGATTTTTATATAAAATTAAGACCGTAAAGTTTATTGTTATGTGAACCAGATAATTTATAAAGCACTTCAGACTTCCCTAACATTTTAATTAAAATAATTCCTCACAGGGAAATTTATCTTATTGTAATGTAAGTCATACTATAATTAAATAAAAATATTTTAGATAGCCTTTCATTTTTGATTAAGCCACAAAAATAAAAATTTACCATAGCATTTAAAAATATTGAAATTATTCTTAAATTGATCCTATGAACAAATACAAAGGAAGTCTTTTTTACATTTTAAAATAATGATGTCCTAAACAGAACTGGTTAAGGAATGAGAGAGAGTTCAAGTTAAAAAGCTTATTTTCACAGCTCAGAACAACCATTCATGTCTATTAAAAATTAGTATAAAGTACTGACCAAATTTCTAATTTTGTAATATTCAAACATGAAAATACCACTAGTTAGTAGATGCCAGAGATCCAGGATATATACAATACATACTGACCTAAAGATCCAACTTCTACCCTTTATTGTGTGAGGTATACTTACTCATTAAATGGTTTTTTCATAAGTTTTGTCCCTTCTGTTTCTTAGCATTCGGTTAACATGTGTAGATTATCCCTTACAAAACCCAAAGGGTCAACTTGAGCCACTATTTTGAAGAAAACAATATGCAATGTACCAACCACTGTTAAGTACATATCATTTTGTTTTGAAATCCTATATTGCTATTGTATGTTTTTGTTGTCCTCATTTTGCTTTTTGTTTTTTGATAGTTTGTTTGCTTCTTGATCTTTGTTTTTTTCTTTAAAATTTAAAAAAAAAAAAGGTTCTTACAACAGATATTAGATCTCTCAGGTTCTACACACGGGGTTAACTACCTAGAAATCATTCCTGTTTGCTATACAAAGTATGCAAGGTCCCAGATATCATAATTTTGTCAAATAAAATAGTTAAAACTTAAACTTCAGGTGAACTATAGACAGAAATTCAACCACTCTTAAGGTTTGAACACTCACACCAATTTATATTTAATTTCAATTTATCTATCTATAGTTAGCACAGATAAAAACAGACTTAGCGGCATGATCTATCTCAGAGTTCCAGACCTTAAACTGCTCTAAAGTCATGATTAATTCTCAAGTGCTATGCTTAAAAGCACCAGAGAATTCAATTTAAGAGATTTTACCATAAATAGAAGCAAAATATAATTTTATTCTTATCCAGTTATCGAAGATTTCAAAACAATTCCATCCTAGCTTCATAAATACTCCACTGGGACTCAATGAAATAGGAAGAAAAATAGGTGAAGGAAATACATTAAAAATATACCAAAAATATGTTATTTGGTTTAAAGTTCCCTATTCCTATAATTAAATTGTTAAAGGGACAATTTAATTGAAGACCCCAAAAAGTATAATACATCTTTATTTTTCTTCTCCTTACCATTTCTCTTGCTTTTTATAATGCATGTTTGTAACATTTGCTTGATATAAACTTATATTTTAGTTTCAAAGTAATTAGTCTCAAAATGAGAGAATATTCTAATGGTATATTTCTTTTTGCATGCTTAATCCACCAAAGGAACTATTTTGTTTTGTTAGTAATGCTGGCAACTGAACACAGAGCTACATCCCTATCCCTTCTTTAATTTTACTTTTATTATGAGTCCAGGTCTGGCTAAAGTGTGTAAAATCTAGACTACAACTTGTAATCCTCCTGCCTCAGCCTCCTAGACTGCTGGGATCACAGGGCATGTGCTAACCATTACTGTAAAGTAACAGTCTTCATCTTACATTTAACTCAAAAAATTACCAGAGCTCTTCTGTATCTTGAAAGAATATATACTAAGTTTAGAGTGGAAAATGGTAGAACGTTATGAGGTTTACTTTTTTTTCAGTTGATCTCAGACACTAAAACACAAATCTTTGAATGGTTCATCTATTATCAAAGCTGCAAATCATCACGATTTACAACATAAACTTGACATATATACACTTTCTGCTAAATGGCTTGGAAATTTCCAGCAAAGCATACATACGATTTTGGAAGTGGCCTACACTGCTATCCCAGTCATTGCAAGCATAATAATTTTATGCATATTTATGTGAGTAAAGTATAATTTAATAAAAATGGGTGTTTACAGAGCTGGGGATGTAGACTTTAGTGGTAGCATGCTTAGTATGCACAAGGCCATGGGTTTAATCATAAGTACAAAAAAAGTTTACTAATTCTAATTCTCTAAAATTGAAATATGACACAAACTTTTAAAAGCTAAAGTCAAAGAACAGCATTTTTCCTTTCCTTTTAAAATACATTATTTCAGTTTTAAACAAGTAATAAGTTTAAGTTGTTCAAAAACCAAAAGAACTATAACAAGGCATAAACTAGTAAGTCTCAGACATATCCCTGTACCCCCACTCATTCCCACCCATCCTCACAATGTTATTAACATCTTGTAGATCATGACAAGACTTTTGTGCAGACAGAGCAATTCAGGTACTATCTCCCCTTCTCATGTAGGCATACTATCTTGTACCTTGTTCTTTTCACTTAACATGTCCCAAACATCTTTTCATATCACTACAGAGCTACCTGTGAGTCTGTGGAAACACTGTGACAATTTAAAAAGTTCAGGGATGGCTCACCTCATGTAACTGAACCTAGCTGTGTTTCACCTCAAATAATTGAACCTGGCTGAGTTTCTGTCTGTCTGCCTTTCTGTCATCCTTTTCCCTCCCCCTACCTGCTTTACATCTTAGGGGCAAGAGGACCTCAAAAAAAGGTCCTCTTTTAGAACATTTCATATGCCAATGTTCTAATCATTCTAAAATTTCATTTTGAAACGGTATATTTTATTAGTGCTAACCATTTCTCCCCAATTTTAAAGTCACAACAAAAAAGGTCTCCTCATAATAAATTAAAATAGAAAATAATAACTTCTTAAGAATCATGTATTCAGGCACAAGTTACAGATTCATATAGCCAATTTCTTTTTGTTTTTATGCCAAGAATAGAACTGAGGACTTTATGCTTGCCAGGCAGGCGCTGTGCCACTAACCTGTATGATCAGCCCCTAAATAGCCAATTTCGAAAAGAAAAACAAATTTATTATGGAAATAAGATTTCAGATGAGGCTTTAAATTTATGTAAATGAGATATCTAAAATCAATTCTGAAAAAATTTTAAATTAAGTTCATTAATAGCATGGATTAAACTAATTTGAGAAGCCTAATATACAAAGAGATTATTCCTCTGTATGTGTCTTTCTCTCCCTATCACTGTGGGCTCTGCAGCTACTTTTAAGCCCAGACTTGGAAGCCTTCCAAAGAACCTGCCACACACATTTTAACAAGACTGGGCTGTTAATGCTGCTCAGTACTAAGAGTGCTTGCCTGGCACCCACATGCCCTGGGTTCAATCCCCAGCACCAGGAGGGAAAAGACTCAGAAAGAGGTCAACCTGAATGAAAGGCCTTAACAGGAAATGTAAAAAATAGTTCCCATAAATACAAGAGGGAAGGGAGCTCTAGGTGAGCCCCGATAAAATTAGGACTCAGTAAAGCCTCAGGTGCTTTCTCCTGCTCTTTACCCATTCACACAAGTGGCTCTGTTCTCTTATTTTCCCAAGGTCCTCCACTCTTCCTCTCCCTGTTCTACTGAGATTAAAAACTGCAACAGTGTCTGGTACTCCTCCCAGGAATGTCTGTATTTTAGCAGCACTAGAAATCTTTCAAGAAGCTCCAATCACTGACCATTTTTAAGATTATGCACACAAGTTGTCTCCAGTGCCTTCACTCTCCTAAGGAAGACAAGTCAGAAAGGACTACCTTTTGTCTCCACATGAGTCCATTTCTGTGAGTTGAATGTTTGTGTAAGTGGCAATCAGAACACAGAGGTGAGATGGACAGTCAGCCTGTCAGGACATTCACCTTACACAACACACTGCAGTCTACAAATGGCCCCCACTGCACAACGTGAAACGGTGCCCCCGGAGGTGTGCCAGGCAGTTATCCTGCTTTCCCTAGGAATGTGCGCTGAAGAGGAAATTCAAAGGAGAAGCAGGTAACTGTGAAAGGCTGAGTGTACAGATTAGTATGAAAATGCTCTAATGAGGAGGGACAAACATATATTCCACATTATGTATTTCCACATATCCCCGAACAGAAGCAATTAGTTAATTCTATTACTGCCCATTAAACATGTTCTCCCTCACCTGAAGATGGAGGGAGGGTCACTATGCACCATGAAGGCACTCTCACACCCAAAAGAAAACATACATTTAACCCTTCATTACTTTAACCTTCAAAATCCAAGAAGGAAAAAAAGAAAGTCCACCAGAGGTGAAGCAATTTCTCAAGTAAACTTGATTTAAGATAGAAAACAAAAAAGATATGAAAGGAACTCTTACAGAATACAAGTTTATCAACCTCAAAGTTTAAAAGGAAAAAAAAGGAGGAAAAAATGGAAATAAAACTTCTGTGAATAAGGAGGGGAAGAATGGAGGAGGGGAATGAGAGACAAGAAAGAAGAACCAACACAAAGTACATACAGGTGCAGATTCTCTATAATGCTATAAATGTTACAATACTCTAAATTCTCTATATCTAAAATGTACCATAAACTTAAGAAAAAAATTTAAAACCTTCAAAAGGAAGAAAAAACAGAGAATGTAATTTTTAAGTTGTAGTATGTTCCAACCATGAGATATTACACAGCAACTAAAAAATTACTAATAGATAAATTTCACCAACTTTATATTAATTGGAAAAAAGACACCAGGGAACCATGCATGGCTCCATTTCTGTGAAGGAAAAACAAATCTACAGTGGCAGAAGCCCCAACAGGGATAACCTCTCTGAGAAATGGGCTACTGACTCAGGTGGGAAACTTCTGTTCGATCCCAAAGTTTTAAAACCCTATATATATATATATATAGGGCCAGGTGATACAGCTCATCGACACAGCACCTGCCTGGTAAGTACAAGATCCTGAGTTTGACTTCTGGTACAAAAAAAAAAAAAAAAAAAAAAAAAAAAAAATCCCAAATATAATAAAAGAAAGGAAATAAAAATAACCTACAGAGTGGAAGCAACTGGAAAGTACACGGGGCACAGAGCTGATAAATGAAGTTGTATTATAAGCCCATGAACATTCACTACACTCTCCCCTATACTCTCTTCAGTATTGTAAATTAAACCCAGGGCCCTACTTCTTTTTTATTTTGAGATAGGATCACAAATTGCCCCAGGCTTGAGCCTATGATCCTCCCGCCTCAATCTATCAAAGTGCTGAGATTACAGCTCTGAACCACCATGCCCAGCTCATACATTTTCATACTTCTGTATGAAAGCCACTAAGTCTTCTTTACATGAAACAGATTATATAAAAGATTCCTCCAGAATTTAGAAAAGTATTTGGTACAGAGTGGGTAATAAATAAGCACTTTTTGTAAGGATGAATAAAAGTGTATTTACAAATATGTTGTAAAGAAAAGGCATACCATAGGGTAGGGCACAAAGGCCTGTAATCCCAGCTACCATGGAGACTGAAGTAGGAAGATCTAAAATTCAAGGCTGGCCCAAGCAACTTAGGAAGTTTCTGTCTCAAAACAAAATATAGTGAGTGTCTTGGTTCATGAACCAAGTCAGAAAGGAATTTAACCTAAAGGTTCAATGTTTAGCCTTATGGGAAAATCTGATACATTTTACCAGTTCAGTGATTCATTCTTACCAGTTCTGCCTTAAATCATGGACAAAATTTAGTTCATGAACCAAGGTACCACTGTAATACCAGCACCCTAGAAGGCTGAGGCAGGAGGGCTGCAAGTGAAGCCCAAGTCTGGGAAAATCAGTAACTTAGCAAGACCTCGTGTCAAATAAAAAATTGGGGGCTAGAGATACAGCTCAGTGCAAAGGCCTTGAGTTTAATCCCTTGTCCCCACCATCCCCCAAAAAAGCTGAGGACGTAACTCAGCATTCCTAGGCCCAATCCCTAGTACCAGAAAAGGAAAAGACATATAAAATGATAGTCATCAATGAATTAACAAAAACTTTTTTCTCTTATTTCCAAAACTTTCTTAGTATATAAGTCTTTTGTAATCTTTAAAAATTAGCTTAAGGTATACTCTAAAAGATCAAAATAATCCAAATTCATTTAGTTTCCCATTACTGGAATTCCATACTATCAAATTTTAATCCTTACATTTTCATTTAAGGTCTAACAAGTATCAGGTAAACACAAGCAAAACTTAATGCAATAATACTGAAGTTTAACTCACTAGCTTACTATGTGAAAGGAAGTATTAATAACTGTTAACCCTACAAAGGCTAAATTTGTCCATGTATTTTTTAAATATTAGTGTCCATACATAACTTTTAAGTATATGAAACCTAAGATTATTATCCACAGAACAAACAGGGTCAAGTCTAAGGCTCTACACAGGCAGCACAGCCTAAATTTTACTTTATTCTTATTCTAAAAGCATTTGGCTTTTCGTTCTCTACTATTTTTTCTTAGGCCCCTAATTCCTGATTCAGATCACTTGTTATTGAAGTTTAATGGTGTGGAAATAGGAAGCAGAAATACACTGAACCAAAAAGGTAAGAGAAGCCACAAAAGCTTTTTCAGGTGCACTCTGCAGAACACAACCTCAAGCTGCCAAGACTTCTTATACACAGCAGTTCACTTACCGTTGCTTTAGTCAAGTTTTAAACCCAATTCAGTCACCGGTCACCTCTTTACATTAGCAATTAATTTTTGAATATGAATCTTAAAAACACAAATATTTAGCTAACAAATGATACACATGAAAATGATTTAAATATCTGGAATATACAAGAAATTAAAAAATAAAATTCTGTCACTAATTCTGCTAAACAGTAAGTAAAATTCATATTGCCTATGTAAATTTCCAAGAACTCTTAGGACTGAGATCAGAATGAGCAAACCTGTAGTTTAGTTATACACATTCACTTTTTACCCCTTTTTGCAGATTCAAAGAGCAACACAAGAAGTAGAATCTCTCAGAATGGGTTCCAGCCACTGGAATGAAACCACTACCTCTGTTTATCAGTACCTTGGCTTTCAAGTACAAAAAATTTATCCTTTCCATGACAACTGGAACACTGCCTGCTTTGTCATCCTGCTTTTATTTATAGTCACCGTGGTATCTTTGGTAGTACTAGCCTTCCTCTATGAAGTGCTTGACTGCTGCTGCTGTGCAAAAAACAAAACTGTGAAAGACTTGAAAAATGAACCTAACCCTCTTAGAAGTATGATGGACAACATCAGAAAACGTGACACCGAAGTGGTGTAGCCCTCTACAGAACAGGTACAAAATCTTTAAAAGCAGACTTCAGACTCTTCTGAGAAAAAAGAAAATTTCCTGAGGCCAACTGTTACTACAACAGCTGACTCTGACTCTGAATGATTAAAAGATTTTCAGTACAAGAAAACACAAGTGAAATATGCACTTTGTGTATGTGTGTACCTTACATTAAATATGCAGTAAAACTTCATAAATGTGAACCTATCAGTATCTTTAATATGACACTTCAAAAACTCAATGAAATTACTAGTTCTCAATAATGAGCAAAAAAAGGTAAACTGGAAAACATAATCAAGGTTATTGGTGCTAAAATCATTTATGCTCAACAATTTATATAGACTAAAAAGTAGTATAGATTTCTACAAAAACGCTATTGTAGATTCATTTCTAAATCCAAAGTAAAATACTTAAGTTCCTAAGTGTACAGAATAGCAATATTTTCTAATTTATTGAAGAAATATTTTAATGATTTGAATTTTACGTAATTATTTAAAAATCTCAAAATAAAATGCTGGGCATGCTGGTACACACCTGTAATTCCAGCACTCGGGAAGCTGAGGCAGGAGTATCGTTGCAAGTTCAAGGCCAGCCTGGGCTACAAAGTGTGTTCAAGGTCAGCCTGAACTGCATAGTGAAATCATGTCTTAAAAAAAGGGCTGGGGATTTAGCTCAGCGGCATAAGTGCCTGCCTTGCAAGCACACAGTCGTGAGTTTGATCTCAGGTACTGATTTTAAAAAAAAAAAAAGTCTCAAAACAATCAGAAAAGACACAAGTATACCTGCATAAAATCACCAAACTGACCAGTTGTTTCATAAGAAATATATGATCTATTAAGAAGCCCAGACTATTTTCAAACCAAAACTTACTATTACACTGCCAAATAGCAGTTCCTGAGCTTATTCTTGTTTTACCTCTCACATTCACTCTGTTAAGGACTAAGATACTAAATGTAGCGGACAGCAAAGTGAGTAAAAACCAGCTATTAGAGTCAAAGAAACATGGCAATTCTCCAGAGCTGTACGCTCACCTAAGCAGGAGGGTGACATAAGAGAAGCCGAGTTTTAGGTCAGATTGGACAGCTCAGCAAGATACCGTCTCAGAAGAAAAAAATGTTTGGAGATGTAGTTTAGTGTGAGGCCCTAGAGTTCAAACCCAGTTCAAAATCTTTAATTTAAAAACAGTATAAAAGCTTTGTCTCCTGACATTCCCAGGGCTGTAGAGATACTACTGCATCACATTAATACTGTCTTGCTATCATCCTTGAAGCAAAACAAAGCATGCTCGCAACCACTATACTCCCTCAGATCAGAAATGACACTCTTGGAAATGTAATCTGCAAAATTAGTCTAAAAGAAAAAAGCACATGTACAAACAAAAATGTTTATGGCACTATTCAAAAATCACACATGAAAAATCTAAACCTTTAAATGTGACACATCAACAGATCAAGAAACTACCAAATCCTATGACAAAATGAAAAAACAATGAGTATGTGAAATGAAAAATAAATTCAGAATATAACTTTCAATAACATTATATTGCTATAAATTTACATACATACAAGTAAAGCCTGAAAACAAATATGGAAAAATCTGAAACAGCTGACATGTGAAGAGAAATTATGGGAGAAGAAAGGGCTAGGAGGACTGTAAAGGATTCTTTCTTTCCCTCCATTACTGACGAAATGGGTTTTGCTTTTGTGTTTGTTTTTTGTCTTTGTGGTAAGTAACCAGGTGGTAAAGAGAGGGGAATAGAGACTTATTATTTTCATTTTAAAGACCTTTAATTAAATCTTAGCACTTGGGAGGCTGAGGCAGGAAGATCTCCACACATTTAAGGCCAGTCAGGGCTACATAATGAGTTCAAGGCCACACTGGAATACATAATGAAACCATCTCTAAAAAAACTCCATAATGAACAGTTTGAAATCACTTTCCCACTAAGTATCTTTCTTTTATAATTCTAGCAAAAACAAATACAAATGATATAACTAACTTTCAGAGGACTTCTGAAACTTAATATACAAAATACTGAGGTAACAGAGTTACAAAGAATGACAGATTAGAAAAATCACTGCCTGCTGTATGAAGAAGAACTTGAAAGATGCTAAATCAGAATGACACAGGGGACACGCCTCAAACCTGGCTGTTACTCAGTCCTAGAGTAACTATAAGGAACTAACTCTACCCATCGATAACAAACATTGCAATAAAAGGAAACAACTCTGTTGTTTTAGGACACTAAGACTTTGGGATTGTGACCACAACAGACTTGACCCTATCCTGACTGTTTCTAGGGATACCCCTGACCAATGAAAGCAAAGTCTTATGCAGGCGCTCACGCCTGTTAAATGAAACAGTGCAGAAGACAAAATTCCTGAGCAGATCAAAAAGACTATGCCTCAGAGTGGCTCTGCATTAATGTTTAAAATAATTTTAGCCAGCCTGGTAGTACATGCTTATAATACCAGCACTTACAGGCTGAGGAAAGAAGACTGTTTGAGGCCAGCCTGGGCAACACATGAGTTCAAGGCCAGCCTGAACTGCATAGTAAGACCCTGTCTCAAAAGACAAAAATGAATAGTTTTTATCTTTTTGAGACAGGGTCTCACTATGTAGTTCAGGCTGGCCATGAGCTCACTTTGTAGCACAGGCTGGTCTCAAACTTGCAATGATCCTCCTGCCAGCCTCCTGAGTGCTGGGATTACAGACATGTACCACCACATTCGGCTCAAAATAGTTTTTAATATAATTCAATGTAAATTTCTTTGGAATGAAAGACAAAACTAATATACAATGATAGGGCTACTTTGATAAATAAGCTGTTTTAACAGGCATCAGTAAAGTAGCTTGAAGAACATCTAACAAGAGGGACATCAATAATGAAAATTACTATTGTTACTTTGGTAACTAAGTTATTAGGGTTGGGAATTATGTTGCCCTGACCTTCTTATTTAAAAGATGATAGTTTAAACCAGGCTCGGCAGCACACACCTGAAATCCCAGCACTCAAGGGCTGAGACAGGAGGACTGCCATGGGTTTGGTGCCAGCCTAAGCAAGCCAGTGCAAGGCTCACCTGAACTACACAGTGAGACCCTGTCTCAAAAAGTCAAAAGCTAAAAAAATAAAAGATAACAACTTATATGGGTAAACTAAACCCAAAGTAAACAAAAGGAAAACACTGAAACAGAAATAAATGAAATAAAAAAAGAGTAACCAATGCATTTTGTTCTTTGAGAAGATCAACAACAAAATAGTCAAAATAAGACTAAGAAACAAAAATACACAAATTCCTAAAATCAGAAAAGAGAATACTTTGAAAAACTTTATAGACAACGTAGTAATGAAATGAAACTGAAAAGACACAAAGTACCAAAATTAACTCAAGAAATAAAAGTAAATTTGAAAACACCTACTTATCAGAAACTATCTGACAGACCTACCCACAAGGAACGCTAAACCCAAATGCCTGCACTAGTGATTTCTCCCAAATGTTTATTACTTGTGTGTGTTTTTTCTGGGTTTGTGCGACAGGTTTTCACTATGTAGTCCACACTGGTCTCTGAAACAGGTCAGCCTGGAGACAGCCCTCCTATCTCAGCCTCAAGTGCTGTTATTAGACACTTGCACCACCATGCCCAGCTTCTGTTTTGTGGTTGTTTTGTTTTTACAGCACAGAGAACTGAAACACTGTACTGGCTTTTGCACTACATATATTCCCAGTCCTTTCCGAGACCAGGGTCTCACTAAATCACAAAGTTGCCCAGATTGGGCTCACACTTAGGATCCTCCTTGCCTCAACCTCCCAGAATGCTGGGACTACAGGTGTGCACCAACATTGTTAAGAAGGTAATTCTTCCCTATGTTGATGTAGGAATTCAATCTAGTATCTATCAAAATCCCAGTGGACTTTTTCTGCAGATGTTGACAAACTGAACCAAAAATTTATATGGAAATGCGAAGGATGGCATAAAAATTAAAATAATCAGGGGCTGGGGATTTAGCTCAGTGGCAAAAGCACCTGCCTTGGAAGCAGGCGGTCGTGAGTTCAATCCCCGATACCGATAAAAAAGAAAAAGACACCCCCCCAAAAAAGTAAAAAAAAAAAAAAAAAAAAATTTAAAATAATCTTAGAAGAAAGGAAGCTAGCAGGCAAGCAAGCTAGTTAGCTAGGCTTACACTTCATTCTTTTTGTGATGCTGAAGCACAAACCGTGGAAGTTCATGCAGGCACATGTCCCTCTCAAGCCTCTACCCCTGCGTCACATTTCCCACCTGTGCATTTGTATTTCTTTATCTCAAACTTTAACCGTAACGCTACCTCAATCAATTAAGTAGGTAGTGGCATAAAAACAGGCATATAAATCAACTGAGAGCCAGGGATTTAGCTCAGTGGTGTAAGCGCCTGCCTGGCAAGCTCAAGGTCGTGATGAGTTCGATCACCAATAAGTCAACTGAGACCCCAGAGAAACGCCTTCATTTGTGGTCAATAGATATTGGAAGAATGGATCAATGTAATACAATAGGGGAAAAAAGTTTTCCAAGAAATGACGCTGGGAAAACTGAACTGTAGTTGTAGCTCCTTCATCTATATCTATATATCTGAGCTGAGTTTTGTGTGTGGTTTAACATATAGGCCTAACTTCACCTTGAATTCAAGAAATTCACTTTGAATGTAGGCTCTTAAATTACACCACACACAAAAATCAACTTACACATAGTACAGACCTAAATGTAAAGAGCTGAACTATAAAACTTTAAAACAAAACATAGAATTAAATTTTCATGACCTTGAATTGAGTAAGTCTCTTTGATATGACATTAAGAACATAAGTGATTTCCAGAAATCCAATATAAGAACAGAATATTAAAAGCCATCAGAGACAAGAAACAGATCACTTACAAGGGAACACCCATCAGAATTACAGCAGACTTCTTAGCACAAACCATCAAATCACGAAGAGTGTGGGAGGAAATAATTCAAGCTTTGAAAGATAATAACCTCCAGCCAAGATTGATATATCCTGCACAATTGTCCCTAGAAATTGATGGAAAAACAAAGTGCTTCCAGGATAAAGAGGAATGAGGGGAATTTGCAACCACCAATTCAACTCTACAGAGAATACTGCAGGATATTCTAAAAAAGGAAAATACCAAGATTCCAGAAATAGTGGCAGAGAGGCCACAATGAATGGAGCAG